TTAGTGCTTAAGTGAGCGTTACATATTGTTTTAGAAAGGTACTGTTAAGTATCGTCACATGGAGCAGTGAGGAGATTATGAATGGCTTGCCAGGGATCACGCGATAAAATAATGAGTATTTGCAATTCCTAATGCTCTCCTTAACGGTGAGGAATTATGTCCTAATGCTTAATACTGGCCATAGGCCACAGGTTGGTCTCTGGCCATGGCTGTTGTACAGAAACTTTGTTGGCCGGTTTTATCTTCTGTCTGGAAAAATGAGGAGGGTATGGCTATTCCTAGGAAATAACGAGGCTGTGTGGGGGAGAAAGGAGTTACTGCCTCTTAATGACTGGACATTGGTCTTTGCAAAGAGAAGCTCCTCAGAAGATTTGTAATAGGACACTGTCTTGCTCTTTTCTGTGGTCACTAACTTTTCTTCCCAAAATCAAGATACTCTTTAGCCTGGTCTGCACATTCTTTTTTGCACTGCTGGTAGTGCACATGAGCAGGACATTCTTTGCCCATCAGCTGTAACCGCGGGTGTGGACCCAGCCATACCAGCTAGCACAGCAGTACTTTGTGTCAGCAGCTTACTCGGTTCTGTGGACAAGGGTGAGACACTTCCATTGAAGCACTTTTACACTCCTGTAACCAAATTTTCCTTTCAGTGACCATACTGCATACTGTTTCAGTTTTATAAACCAGTGGTGAAGAATTTAAAACCCTAAATATAATGGTGAGAAGTGCCCAAGAAGTGGGAAAATTTTAAGACATTTATGCTGAGATGGAGGGAGACAGTTTGTTGCTGTTTCTTAATGAGAAACAAGTTGTCCAAAGACTATACTAAGCATGGTATAAAAACAATGGAGAACTAAAGGGAACCCACCTCTGCTGCTTCTAATGGATCATCTTTGCCTTACACTCTGCTATAGGAGCTTCGACTGAAGTATTTTTGAGCCAGTCTCACTCTGCCCATGACCAGAAATCTGCAGGGACTGGCTTTCCCCCTATGTCCAAATCGGTGAGGGGAATGAAACCTGTGAAGAATCCCTCTGCCAAAAGAAAAAGCAGGAGTTATTTTTCCTTTAAAATCTCTGTGGGGCCAGTCTGAGGAGACATCAGATTGCAAACGTATTTGTAAAGCCTCTCAGGCCTTGCCTAGAGAGGACTTTGTTGGGTTAGCCAAGTCAGCAAACCTTTGCATTGATGCACATTGCAGTTAACAAAAGATTTTTGCCTGGTTTAAATGCTGTCTGTCCCTGAACAAAATCCCCTGCAACAGCATACCGATTTTTTTAATGCTTGGGCACTTGTGTCAGAGGCACATCTCTCTGAGGAATTGAGATCTTCCATGGAGGAGAACTTGTAGCTCTAATGGCAGATCGTTAATGTGTGGACCTGGCTTCTGCAAGAGAGGGAAAGGAGACTCTCCAAAGAGCTGAGGCTGATGGTGCCGGGGCCGGCTCAGCCTGCAGGCTCCGAGTAATGCAAACAGCTATTTTTTGGTACTCCTCTAAGCAGAGCACTCAGAAATGGCCTGTCCCACATGCCACTAGGTGGCACTTTAGGGACGTGGCAGTCAATTGGTTTTATTCATTTTGCATAAGCTGCATCACCAGAACTAGTTGGTTGGTTTTTTTTTTTTTTTGTTTTTTTTTTTTATTATTAAAAGTAACTATTTATTTATTTTTACCAATTCCCTGCTCCAGCCAGCCGCTGCCCCGCTGGCTGCTGAGCTTTGCTGTCCTGGCACCCAGGCAGTGGAGAGGATCAGCCAGCTCCATGGCCATCCTCAGCCAGCGGGTCCCACAGCCCTGCAGCACGGTGGCTGCCACAGTTGTTAGGCTGCCAGCCACATCACAGCACTCGGATATCAAACTCTTGGAAACTTTGAAATCTTACCCTTCTTGGCATCAGAGCTCCAGTTTTTATTTGCTTCCACCAGAGCACAAAGTTTACCTTTTTTTTTTCCCTTTTATCAGTTCCCTTCAGTTTAAAACATTGTTCTCCTGCAATGAGACCACTAAAAAAAAAAATAAAAATGCTGTGTGGTTGTGTGTCTATGTTTCTGCAAAAGTTTGGGGTTTTTTTCTCCCTCTCCCCCTGCCCCCCCCCCCCCC